CTATGTGACCTAGTTTGATTTGAAACAGGATTTGGGATTGAAATTTGGGAATTAGAATTTGGGATTGGGATTTGGGATTGGGATTGGGATTGAAATTGGAATTGGGATTTGGAATTTGGGTTTGGGATTTGGGATTGGAATTTGGAATTGGGATTTGGGATTGGGATTTGGGATTTGGGATTTGGGATTTTGGCAAAGTTTAGATTTAGCCAAAGTTTGGGATTTTACTAGTTTTTCCAGTTTGAAATTGGGATTTGGGTGGGATTTTATACATTTATAGTTTTTGCCAACAAGTATACTTATATGGGTGTTACATATTAAAACAGCCAATTTGAAATTTTTTTTTTTGATTTTTGAATCTATATTACTAAAAGATGTCTTTAAAAAATCTATAAACAGTAAAATCCAATAGATCTACAAAACTAATACAACCTAATCTTAATATTTGGTAGACGCAAAATCATGCAAACTGGTAGGTGTCCAAAGACTCTATCACGTAGCAAAGCACGTGCGGGATACTAGTTTTTTATGGTATCGTTTTTTTATTAAATATTAAAGTTTGTAATATGTATAAATTTTTTTTGAACATCATTAATCTACTGGACTTAGTCGATTGAGGTTAGAAATATTCACTTGGATGGCTTAATTAAAAAGTTGACTACGCAATAGTTTAATTGAGTATATATTTCATTAAAGTACTAGCATAACCTTCAAAAAGAAAAAAGTAACAATTTTGTTTATTTTTTACTTATTTTTTTTTTTCTTATTTTTTTATAGGAAGGAAGAAAATAGAAAAATGTTTTTCGTGTCCCTGCTCGTAGCCAATAAAAATTTTGGATCTACCGCGCATTATTAGTTTCAATGACTGTACTAATAAATAAAAAACGCGTATGATATCATCAGAAAATATAACTCGATTAGCATTGTTATTTAGTGAATAAAAAAATTTCGACTTGACTGTGCCGCATTTAATAAACGACGATAAAAATGGATAATGTCACGCAAAGGTTTGTTTCGTACAATATAAATACTTTTGGGAATTTTTTACTAATTCGTTCCACGAACAAATTAGTAGTAGAAATGAAGCAAATTCGACTCACAGTACTCCAATGCGAGTACGACAATTAGGAATTTCAGAAACAACCCCAAAGCGGAGAGGAATACTCAAATCAGTTTCAAACGTAACAAATAATAAACCTCCGTCAACTGTACCTTCGGTTACCTTCAATGAGCCAAAGCTAAAAGAACGCAATCATAATTCGGGATTAATTAAAGTTTGTTGCATAAACAATTTCGGGTTGTAATCTAAACGTTTATTTAATTTGTAATTACTAACATTTATGGCAAATTTATAAGGCTTATCTACGAATTAGACCTATAAGTTCGGACGATAT